TCTTTCTTGCTGGGTTTACTGGCTATTTTACATTTTGTTCAATGTTAAATTAACTCAACATACATAAACAAAAAGTATGTTTTCAAATATTAAAAAAAGGTAAAGGCAGTCCAAAAGTAAATACTGATATTTGGGTGTAAAGTGTTAGACCTTATAAAGTTTTTGGCCACAACATATGACATCGATGGCTAGTTCCCGGACCTGTTGCCTTCTCTTCCCACAGAATTCCTAGAAAACTGTAAATGATTATATACTACCAGGCCGAGCTGGTAAGACTCAATCCTGATACCTCTAGAAGACTGAGCCTGAACACCAGTGCTGGGAGGCAAGAGTTGACATACATGAATGGGTTTTGAGTGTGCAGCTAAGAACTGACATCAAAGAACTCAGGACATTCCCATAAACATTATGTCTTCATCTTCAGCAGCCAGAGAAGAGTTCCAATTTCAATGGTGTCTTTCCTCTGTGTCGACCATGTCCCTGGTCACTTCTAGCTGTCCGTCCATTCTCTCCTGATAATAATTATCTATTTGCACCTCTGAATTGTTCCCTTGCTTTCACAGGGCCTTGACATGCATAACTTTACCACCCATTGGCGCATAACAAGCTTATCTGTTTACCTGTTCACATCCAAACACTACTGGGAAACACAGGGTGAAAGTTACAGCTGCTCATTCATTTGTTTCATATGGCTCCATCTAGTATTGGTGACTGACCTTTTTATGCTAATGGGGCATTGGCACATGATGCTAAAAATATTTTGCATAGACCTATCTGCCCTCGATGGGTTATTAGTCAACATCAAAACTGCCACTTTTACTTCCCACATTAGGTGCAATTTAGGTTGCGTTAACCTGAGAACCAGTCATTTTTTTATTTTTTTAATTAGTGTCTAGCCACTTCATTACCCTGGCTCCCATTAAACAGTAGTATATAGAGGAAATGTCTAAATAAACAATAATGATAGCAAGATCTGCTTCACATTTGTTCACACTTTATTTTGAGTAAAGATGCATTTGACTATCTTCAGTCAATTTTGCTGGCCTGGAAAGAAAATCTTGTACTAGAATTTTTATTTCAAGTTGTTTTTTTTTTTTCTTCTATTTTTTTTAAAATTATGTATTGTGGCATCTTTTGCTTAGGCTTTGCAAGTCCGACTCGTAATTCCAACGTACCGCAATTGAAACCCACGGTTGGTTGCGTGGATTTTTATCATGGTATGGGGCATCGCAGGTCGACCAAGCCTAAAATGGGTACCAGGATGGCTGTCCTGGGGAGGTAAAGATGGCAGGCATAATGCTGACTAGATAACCCACCTAGTGCTGATTGGTCTGTAAAAATATGGGTGCTCTTCCCATATGCCTGATACGCCTAAAGGCATGAAAAGGGATCTTTACTTACTTACTTTAGCATGTATAATGTGCTAACACACCTCCATGCAATGACAAAAGGTTGTCAAGAATCTCCACACACTGGCTTCCTCTATCTTGCTTTCCACAAATATTTTCAGCTGTCACAGTTTCTAACTTCTCATAACCCAGTCCAAAAACTAATGATGTGTGATAAAATGTTTTCAGCTCTTTAAAAACATCTTGTTTACTGATTATGACTATCGAATTTTCAGCATTCTTCTATAAAACTACATATCTGGGGCTTCAAGAAACTGTTAGGTTTGTTTGTTTACTAATTATGCAGGACTGATTTTGAAAGGACTGATTACCCAGAATCGGCAGCTATACGCTAAAACTGGATCTATGTAGCGTGCAAGAATTCTTGTTCTATCCGCCAAGAATGAGATTTACTACATCTCATTTCATAAGCTTGTAACTATTCTGAGTTTTAAACTCAGTTTCTCTCAGCACCTCCGCCACCACAAGTATAACATAAAGCATCAGTTCCACAGCCCCAACAATTCTCAGGGATCACATTACAAAATGCACTAATTAACCAAAGAATGCAGTTTAAAAAAACACAAAATCTTTAGAGTACAAAGCAAATGGCTTAACAGCCTCATCATGCAAAACCTCACACTGCCACACAAAAACCGCCCAGATTAGTGGTTACCAAATAGCTCAGTCCTGATTTGTGGAGGTCTGCCACAGACCCAAAACTTTTTAGCACTCATGCTGAAGACCCTCCGTCCAACAGTCGCTCTGTTCCTGTGCCAAAGAAAACCACGCAGAATGTCTTTCACTGTCTCTTGTGGAAAAAAATTGACAAAGACTGCAGTCTTAGCAAATTAACGGCATACACAGGCATTCAATGCATGAGGGTTTTTCTAAATGATACATATCATAATCATCATTATCAAGTGCCTTGCCAACTGGCCTCTCCACAATCTGCAACTACGTGCATCAGCTGACCTGTCTAGCCACTTCATTAACACGGCTCCCTTTAAACACTAGTATGCAGAGGAAATGTCCAAATAAATAATAATAATAGCAAGATCTGCTTCACATTTTTTGACACTCTTCCATGCCATATCAAAAGGCTGTCAAAAATCTTCCTGCGCTGTCTTCCTGTCTCTCTTGCCACAAATCTTTCCAGTGGTCACAACATGTTCCACTTTCTCTTTTCTCATAACATGAAAATGATTTCACAGAACCCTTAAATTTGTTCCTCAAACTGCCTAGGGGTCCCTGGACCACCAAGTGAGAATAGCTGGCCTAGATAGAAAAAGGCTAAGCCATGATTGCGGCTGAAATAACCAATAAATGCATGTTGAAAATCCTGGCAGATACAGAGTTAAAATATTGAAAGGTATAAAATGTGGCTGTTAATACAATTTGGCATACAAATATAATTCACACACACATATATACATAGTACAGTGCTGCACTAAGTAGCAGAACAGCCAGAGTTTCACAAACAACAAATATAACACACATCACACAGATGGAACATGTTTACCTGTTGTGTCTTTTTTTTCAGAACAAATGTAAGGATTGTTACAAAAATATTTGCTTTCACAACACAATGTGCAAGGATTCTCACTGTATTGTATGCAAGTATTCTCACAGTACTGTGTACAAGGATTCTTATAGCAAAATGTGCTATTCTCATGGTTCTATGTGCAGGCATTCTCACAGATCATGTACAAGAATTCTAACCACCATACCATGCAAGGATGTATTGTATGCAAGCATTCTCCACAACACTGTGTACAAGGGCTATTAAAATATATGCAGCTCTCAGAACAAGATGTGCAGTAATTCTCACAGAATTGTGAACCACCAGGATTCTCAAAGCACAGCGTGGAAAGATTCTCATGGTATTGTGTGCAATGATACTCACAAGCTTGGGTATGAGGATTATCAACACCATGCAGCTATCAGAACACCATATGCAAGAATTCAAACAGCACTGTGGCCGGATAATTAAGCATTATGTGCAATAGCAATAATTCTCCGAGCATTGTGCGCAAGAACTATTACGCTGCTCCCAGAAGCAAAGCGCTAACTGAAAAATCACTCCCCCCCCCCCCCCCCCCCCTCTTACAATGACAGAGATGTAAATATCATATGCAAGGATTCTCACTGAATCATGTGCAAAGATTCTCACAGAACATATACAATGTCTATTCTAAAAGCAGCTGGACATAGAGCACCACTACAAGGATTCTCAGAGCAACATGTGCAAAAACTCACAGCATCATATCCAAAAAAGCTCAAAATATAGGTTACTCAGGGCTCATGTTGAAATGTTTCCCTTTTAAAGATCTCCCTAAAGAATGTGGATTTTGTTTGTTTCTGGGATGGGTGTGTAACCAGATCTCTGTGAGCTAATTTCTTTCAAAACATCTTCATTACGCTTTTTTTTTTTAAATCATTAATAGTGCGATCATGATTTTTCTGTGAAATTACATTATCAGATATTACAAAATACTTTACTTTCATAGAATATACTCCACCATTTAACACAAAATATACAGTTTAGTGCACATTAACTAAATGTCAAAAGACAAGATGACAAATTTGTCAAATGACAAATTCAGGTGTTTATAAACATGTGGTGATACACTTTTGACACTGATAATGTTACAGATTCAATAACATAAGGACACCTGTCTTTGATCTAACGAGATATTAAACTTCCTGGGAAATGCTAGATTTAGTTCATGCTTACTATGACAAATCCCTGCATGGTTCACATAGTAGTTCATGAACTACCAGAAATCAAACTTTTGTCATTTAGCACCGTGTATGAACAAAGTATTTTTCAACACTTTCGCCCCATGAAAGATTTTTTTAAAAAAGACCACAATTCCATGGGAATTTCAGAAATGAGATCCTCAAAAAAAAAAAGTAAAACAACCAATCTGAACAGGGCTTTAATATATATATATATATATATATATATATATATATATATATATATATATATATATATATATATATATATATATATATATATATATATTTTTTTTAATATTTTTTTTTATTTCTTTATCTACATTTTACCATCTCAAAAAATATGTATCAGGTGACTCGTCATGACCTGTGACCTCTATCACTGAGGCTAAAGGAAATTTTGACATCAACATGGCTTTAAAAGCCATTTGGTTCACAAGGATCCCTCCAAATGCTATTATCAGTAAAAATATTCATATTCGGACCTCCTAAACAAACAGAAACAATGACATTTCGAACAGAAACAATGACGTTTAACTATATTTCTTGGAAACAGTTCACTGCAGACATGCTGGTGCATAAGAGAGTGTGAGCATTAAACCTCATTCATAACACAGCACTCGCATGCTATTTATGGTATAGGCACAACATTCATTTCTACAACCATATATAAAAACAAGCACCTTACTGTAATTTGACAAACATTTTCTAACAGTGTATAGCTTTTTTTTTTTTTCACAAGAGAAAAAACACAATAGTGAATTAAATACTGTGACAACAAACAGTGGTCAAGGCTCTTTGATTTTTTTTTTCATTACTGAGATGTAAAACAGAAATTTGGTTCTTGTAGCCGGAATGATAGCACCCATGTTATCTGTGTCCCAATTCCTGCTGGATGGCTGGGGAAAAAATAAATATGAATGTTAAAGTTGGTCCAAATCCACACTGAGTTGGATTCTTTTTCATAATTGACCTAGGTTTCCAGAATGACCCAGCCTAAAGTGGATACCAGGTAATGTCACAGAAAGAAAAAGAAAATGGCCGTTATGATGTTGACTACATCGCCCATAGGGCCCATATTGTTTGTCCATCACAAGTGATGAGGACCATTTTTTTTTCCATCCGTCATGAAACTATAGTTAAGTGTCTGTGAGTCCTGAGATGATTTATAAGCCTAATAGGAAGATTCTAGGACAATGAGGACAGGGAAGTGTCTGCAGGTAAAGAGCCTGTTATACAGGTCTTTCTAGTCTGCCAGCGCTGTTCAGCTGCATTTTTTCTAGATGACACGCAAGTCGCTGTAACTCTTCGGACAGATGTTCGCCATAATGTCCGGTCTTGTGCAGCAGCCTCCCAAGTGGCAGGGTTTATAGTGAAGGCTTTTAGCCATCTGAAGTCATCGAGTCCGAGCTGGTCTATTAAAATACAGGAAGTAAAATTCAGGCTCTCCTGGACTGAGAGGAAGTTAATATACATTGCTGACAAAAAATCTCCTATTAACAAATATCTGAGGACTCAGTCTGCATCCTATAACAAATATTTGAGTACAATATTAGTATAACAGCACTGTCGAAAAAGAAAAAAAGGAAAGGACCATTTTTCATGCCTTTATGCGTATAGGGCACATGGGGCTAGACCTATATTTTTATAGACCAATCAGCACAAGCTGGGTGGTGTGGTCAGCATCACGCCGGCCGCCAGCCATGGTGACTTCCCAACACTATCAAATATTTGGGGAACATGCTAAGTATAAATGGGGATATTCCCTCTAATATGCGCTATCTGGGCAGGGTCACACATTTTTAGTCCAGTGCATGTTTTTGGCACAGGACAGCAGACAACAGTGAAACTGTATTCACTTACATCTTTAACCCTTTCGCCCTGTGAATGCTAAGAAAAAGATTGGATCATTAACCCATAGGAATTTCCCTAAAAAAATCCATTGCAAAATATTTTTCAACAGCATTTATACTTATTTTCTGAATATAAATATAATTTAAAAAAAAAAAAAATATACACAGAGAGGTAATCAATAAACATGAATAAAATGAAGTATTAAATAGAATAAATCCCCAGGGGTATTTAAAAAAAATGTATCTAGTGACTCATGCTGTGATATTGCACTCATATCCTGGCTTTTTTTTTTACACTGCAGAGGCGAACAAAGGACCAATGTATTTTAATTACGCTTTGCTAGAACAGGGCACTGCAGACATAGCCATACATAGGCATTTACAAAACTGTCACAACCAGGAGTCACTAGATTTTTCATTTCCTGGGCAACAGCGTTAAAGCTAGTAGCTCACAAAGCAGACTTTTTGCCCATAACATTTCCTAGCTTAATGAGACAACTGAATTAAACCCAAAACAAATGTACTGATAAGTCTGGATTTTATATCACTTTTCTATCATGATATTAAACAGTGCTGAAATATTAATCAAATCTAAATACAGAGATACAGAATTGCAAAGGGTGTTTAAGGCAAGCAAATCGACTAAGCTACACTTGTATCTCATATGGTTCAGCTCTGCTCCCCAGAGGTGTTGGTCACACACGAGAAAACTGCATAAAAAAACGAACACTGCAGCTTCACTGACATCCCCCAGGGATATCAGAAACACCTGACTCATACACCGAACAAGGAAGCTGGAAACTGAAACCGCAACATTCAGAGTGTGCGGTAAAAAAGCTTAACCACTATGCCATAGATATATCTATATATATAATCTCTAGTCAAATACTGCTGAAAATGAACATCGTACCATCAATAATCTCGTTCTTCATCTTGTTGATTTCCTTCCTCATCTCTGTCAGTATTTCTTGCTTCAGGATTTCCAACTCCCCACTCAAGGCTCCCCCCTCGTTAATGAGGCTGGCTACCTCCTGACCAGTCAAAGATGGGTTGCGTCTAAAAAAAAAACAAGGTCACTATTTCAAACCATTACTTAGCAGGCCTGGTATTGATAAGCAAGTGCTCTGGCTATTCTGCCATTAGGGGTCATTTTATAAAAAGCATACAACAAAAACATGGGGGGAATTTTGAAGTTTGAACAATGGATCAACATCATGGCACATGGGTAGTAACCCATTAGTGCTCTGTTCTTCTTCTAACTTAAGTCTGAGTCTGAAGAAGCTCAGCACATCGCACAGGCTCTGTTGCACTGGCGAGGATCCTGAAATACTTTTGGTAGATTTTCAACTCCAAATTTTGCCCGGCCTGCGCCATTAGACTACTTTTTTCGATTTCAAACAATTCAACCCAGAACCTTTAGCACTTAAGGCGGACACCATGCCTCAAGACCACACAAGCCCCCCCCCCCCCCCCCCCCCCCCCCATCCTCCTCCCAAGGTGGGAAAAGAATGTGGAAACTGAACACAAACAGGTCTGCCCAAAAAGAGTGTTAGTGTGATAAAAGTGTTACAGCTGTAAGTGAATTTATAGCACTTTGACCTTATTCAATAGCGACTCCTAAAGGATGCGGTTTTAAACTAAGCTTAAAATAAATTAGAACTGGCCAAGTATGAGAGACCTGTGAATGTCACATAACATCTGATAGACTGAACAGTGACACAGGAGTCTATTCCTGGAAACTGTCAGTTTCTGCATCCTTCAGAGAACCTCTTGCAATGTTTGGTGTCCACCTTTACGGAGTCAAGCCCAAACTCTACTATAACAAAGACACTCAGTAAGGGCAAATGGTGATCCTAGGGCTGGTCTTGCTTTAATAAAGGAGTGGTCAAACAAAGGTTGAGTCTTCAGTTTAAGAATGTGGCATATGAAAGAATCAAGTGCAACTAATGTTAGCAAATACCATCTGGGCAGTTCTCCAACTGAACCTGCTCCACAAAGACCTTAACATATAGAGTGAAAATCAGGTTCATGGTGGAAGAGCTTCTGATGAACAGAAACTTTCAGATTATATTCCATCAGGTGGAGTTTCTTAACAAAGACAAATGATTAGTCCGTTGATACTAGGGAAGACTGACTGATGACACTAACAAGACATATGATTAGTCCGTTGATACTAGGGAAGACTGACTGATGACACTGAGAAGAAAAATGATTTTATGATTATAAGGAATCTATGTCTACCAGGAGCCTCTGTTTTGATTTGGCGGCTTCTGCAACATGCTTTACTCCAAATGTATTAGTGCAAAATTTTCTGTGGAATAAACAAGGCTGGTCTAGCGAGGGATAATGCTGCATGAGCAACACATGGTGTCTACAATACTGCCCAGTTGTGCTGTGGAAAGAATAAACTTCATCCCTGGCTTGAAATGGTACTGGAAGTTCCATGCCTCCCTGTGGTCCAATATAACACTATTATCTGAAAGGACGGAAAGGTGCTAACAACAACCTTGCCATAGTCAGAACAAGACTATAATGCTCCAGCTCTCCAAGCAGAAGAAATAGGGTGTGGATGCTATCTGTCCAACTTGTGAGCTGATTAGTAAACTATGGAACTGCTCTTTTGCGCTGCACTGGCTGCTAAAGATGAGAACGGGGTACTTATGGGAATGGGGCACTCATTTACGCACCCCCATACATGGTCTAACAGTAGATGTAAAGTATCTGAAGGTTACGGGATTACACAAATGGCAGTATCTCACACTTTACTCATCCAAACTGAACTTTCCTAAATTTGGATTAAAAGCTTTCAAATAGGTTGCAATGTGTGCACTTTCCGGTCCAACATATCCAATTTCATCAAAAACTTAACTAGTCCCCTTTTACTACATGCTTGTTAAGGGGCAGCAGATCTTTTTTCCCTGCAAAATGGAGCCAGGAAAACCACATGGAGGAGAACAATGTCATTTGATTTACACTATTTTGTTCACTGATGACTTTGTTGTTTACACTAACAGAAGACTTTAAAGCCAGTATCTGGCTATGCAGCCCAAACCCACCGGTGTACATTACTGTGTTATATGGCCATGCACGAAAATCTTTCACAGATATTTTCAAGCCTGCCTTCCCTTCGCACCACTCTCTGCATTCTGACATTTAGAAGAGATTGCTTGCACCTCCAAGTGTGGTGATAGTAGCAGTTTTCCCTGCTAATAATGTCTTAGTGAGTCCCTCCTAATGCAACAGTGGAAACGATTTTGTTTTTAAAACTGATCTTTGTTTGCTAACCAAGGTCAGTTTTAAAAAAAATATTCTCCACTGTTGTATTAAGAGAACTTGCTAAGACATTATTAGCTGACAGAACTACAACCTATCCTAAACTGCAAACCAGCAAATATCTTGGGAAGTAAAAGTGGCTGGAATGAGGTTGACCACATCGGGTGTCAACTGACAAATATTTGTCAAACATCTTGTATCTGATGTCCCTAGCAGGAACAGGGTCCTGTACCTTTCCACTTTTTATGAGTACATTCTGCCTCCTTATGTTCTGTGGCAACAGTTTCTACTACAGTCTCTGTTTATGTCAACAATGACACATGGTATGTCAACAATGACATATGGTATGTCAACAATGACATATGGGTGAAAGTATGCTTTCTAGTAAACTAGAACAAGTGACAGAAGACTGGGTGGGCTTACCTATATGTTTACACACATAAAGGTACAGTTTCAAAACAAAAGAAATACTTTAGCGTTTACAATGAGAGATGGAGAATAGAATTAAGACGAGTAATCAACCTGAGATGACAAAAAAGCAATGATATCAGGCCAGGAATCAAATTACCTACTTATGCTTTTAGAATTATTCCCCTGGAAGGTTAAAAGGCTTACCTGCCTAAAGGAAGCACAGAAGAGAAAGTAAATGCTGTGTTTACTTACTGTCTAAGGGGTTTGGGGGACTCTGATCCATTAACATGACCAGGTTTTGTTGCCACTCCATTCCCAGCATTCTTTTCCCAAGGTCGCCGTATGTCTGGGGAGGTACTGGGTGCCACGGCAGGAGCAGGCAGATCTGCATCTCCCTAAAAAAAAATATAATAAATATGTTTACGTTAGTTTTCAGTTAACAAAAAAAAAAAAAAAAAAAAAACACAGTGGAAGTGAGCAAATACTGTTCTCAAGTATGCAGCTTTGGCAAATTCTTCTTTTTTTTACATCACCTTTTTTTTTTTTTTGCTAAAAAATTTTTTTGATTTTTATTTTTTTATGCCTGTTTACTGCAAGGCTGCAATATTCGCATACTGTCACTAATGTAAGATTTTTCTGTGGGGGAGGGGGAAAGGGGGGGGGGGGGGGGGGTTTGGGTGGCTTCTATTAACTGAGATGGAGTTTTAAAGTTTTATATATAAACACACACACATATTAGTCAGTTGCGTATACTTTACAGGATGTTGCTGAACAAACCCCAGCATTTTTTTTTTTTTGGCTGTTGTGATTTTTCTAGGCAAATTTACATCCAGTAGTTTACACACATATACATACATACATACATGCGTGTGTGCGTGCGCGTGTGTGTGTGTGTCTATATATATATATATATATATATATATATATATATATATATATATATATATATATATATATATATATATATATATATATATACACACACACACACATATAAATATACATTCAGGGTTGAGAGGAAATGTTTCAGGCACTATGATGAACAGCTGTATACTAAGCAAAGCTGAATGAGTTTGCTACTGCTATACAAGATGCCATTAGGTATAGCACAAGCCACCAGTACAGGATAAGACAAACATAAGACAAGATGACTGTAATTCAAAATTATTTCTCTGGAACTCACAGTGTGATAGAAACACAGGAAGACCTAAAAACACATAGAAAATTTGAAAAAAAAAAAGAGGTACAGAAACTAATAATATAGAAAGGATATGGAGGGAGCTCTAAAAGATAGTAAAATAGGACTGAGGTGCATGAAAGCCTGTGCTTCAATGAGATGAAAAAGCCAGAAAAAAAAAATCAAAAACAAAACTACGTCAAACAGGTACCTGTCCTGGTGTCTCAGACTTGGCTTTCCTGGCTTTGAGCTTCTGCTGCATCTCAGAGATAACGTCGATGTGTCCGCCTCCACCCCCACTTGTGCTACTACCCCGGTTTGAGACCGGGTTGATGATATTAGAGCTAGAGCTAGTGCGATCTAAGTGTGGTGCTGCACCGGCATCTTTTTCCTCTGGCTGTTGATGAATGCACAAACTGATCAATGACTCACGAAGTGTGGAACGACATTATAAACTTATTCTGGAAAACTCTAACTGACCTAGGGCACCTAGACTGGTAAGCCTAAAAAAGGGTATCAGAAAATATATGGGAAGTAAAGGTAGCCAACATGATGTTGACCAAATTACCCAGTGAGTGCCAAGAGTCTGTAAAAAAAAATGCCTAGCATCATATAACCAATGACAATGGCGTGAAACTTGTTCTTTAATTACTGGAAATTCAGAAGTACCGTGAGCAAACAACCAAAAATGCAGATAAGGGAGCTGGAGAGTGAAGTTAAAAAAGTGTCTTCCTGCACTCACACACATCCCCCCCCCCCCCAATTAAAAAAAATGGATACTGAGAAACTGACAAGCGTAGCAAGTAGTAAATGAATATGTGTAACACTCTTTCCTTTCTTTCTCTATGCTCCTCAACCAACTCACACCTAACTCTTTGCATACTTGTTCGTGACTGGATTTTGCAGTTTTCTATGCATTGTGACAATCAGTCTAGTGCCTCAGTAGTACAACATGCATATTACTGTTTCTGCTTCCTCTCTCTCCTTCTGCATTCGACATCAGCCCTGTAAACATCCAGTCCTATCTGGGTTATGCAAACAGGGTGGTTTGTCTAAGGCCACCACCTGACACCCCCCCCCCCATAACGTCTCTTGTAATGTGGCTCCTTTGGGTCAGATCCACACCCTATGTTGGAAGAAGCTAGGGCATTACTGTTATTAAATTTTGCTTGCTTCTTTGTCTGCAATCTTGCTCCCAATGGGTAGTTAGCATCCTTTGGATGTTTTCTCCAGGTTATGCCAGTGTGTTGGGAAATGAGCAGGCAGACAGACCGTTACTGGTACCATCAGAATCTTAACTCTTTGCTTGCTGCTGAAGATGGGGATGGAGCGCTAATGGGGGTGTCCTGAGTGCTGTGATGTCGATTCTCAATTCAACAGTCTCTCAATGGGGCATGGGTCCTTAACCAATTCACACCAAACCCTTTTAGACTTGTGCAGGGTAGGCTGGTTTTTGTGACTAAAGAGTCTTCCCTGGATGGTGTAGCCAATAAAGTCCAACCCTATGTTTAGATGCCTCTTATGACAAACTTGGTAGAGTTTAAGTGCTGCTATTCTATGCTTCCTCTAGGGGCCAGGGACCACACAGGGTTTAGTGAATACTGATAAACAAAAATTTACTGATTTTAAAATAAGCCAATTTAAGTCAATAAAGATAGTTCTTTTCCTTCTTGACATTCACCAGCAGTAAACTAGGGTGAGAAATTATGGCTGTTTGTCCGGTCTTTGACATCAGTCTTGCGCCAGAACTTGAGTTTTGGGTGCACATCTGTTTTACACATCTGGCTTCTTTACATGCAGACTTTTGGTTCCTCCCTTCTCATAATTATACATACCAACATCAAAGTAAACACACATTAATAGGCACCTTTTATGACATGCTTGTTAGGGAGCAGTGTGTCCCACAAAATGGCGCCCTGGAACCCATATGGGTTAATTCAAAACCTACATTAAATAAAACTGGCCACATTACCTTCGGTGTCTTTCTTAATTTGGCTCCTTGCAGAGCTGCAGCAAATCCTCCTTGATTAGTACTAGCACCCCCTCCTGGAGGCTGAAAACCTCCAGTGGGAATGGGAGGAGGAGGTGGTGGTGTTCCAGCTGAGGTAGCAGCTGGTGCTGGAGGTGCTAAAGGAGCAGCTGGGGCTGCAGGGGGTGCAGGAGGAGCAGGAGGCTCTGGGGGAGCTGAGCTTGGAAGCTGGGGAGGAACTTGTGGGGAAAGACTTGGTGCAGATTCTGGATAGGAATCCCGCATACCTAAAAATTTTCAACATAAACAGTAATGCATGAATTAAGAATTAAACTGACCTACAATCTAATGACAGGTGAGAACCACCGTGGTGTAGCAGCTAGATGCACACATGCAGATCTGAAGGTTGTGGATTTAAATCCAAGCAGATCATGATTTTCTTCTTCTTCTTTTTTTGTTTTTGTTTTTTTTTTGGTTAAATGGCCTTGGCCTGCAAGGTTCTTTTTCTTCCTCTTTGTTCACCGGCTGTAAGTTCCAGCAGAAAACCCTGGTTTTGCAAGGGCCTGATCTTTTTTTTTTTTTATTTAAAGCTAAAATTAACAATTTTATGCTTCAAGAAATCTTATTTACAAACTCTTTCTTCACTTTCTTTTAGCAAGTAGGAACAAATATCATCATCAATACATCACTGTAATCTTCTCCTTCTTCTTCTTTCGTTCGCTTGAAATAAATTATCTGTATCTGCAATGTTGTCTATAGTATGATTTTCACTGTCATTTGCAATTCACTCAGCAACCTGAAAAGTTTGACTTGCACTGATGTTTCTCTTAGCCAACAGTTTTGCATTGATATGTTGTATTTGGGACAGTCTTGGTGTACATGATCTGTTTTAAATTTTGTGTACATGTGACTGCGAAGTCGATTGTGTCCTGTTCTAAGGCGTAAAATATTAACTTGCTCTAAAATGGTAATCGTGATGGTTTTGGTGGCTTTCTGGTCGATTTAGTTATTTCTTCTTTTGTTGATAAGAGACAGGTATGTCAGGTTGTTTTTCAATTTCACCTTCCATCTTTCATTTCCGGAAACTCCACAGTGAGATGGTATCCACTGCATAGTTACCTTACAACGACTGCCTAGTTTGGAGAGCAGTGTTCCTATACCAGGTAGTTTTACCACTTTAATCATCACTGAGGTCTCTGCAGAAAATCGCTCTCATTAGAGACTGTCAAAAATGCTTTGATTCTTTTAGACTCCAATGTACTATATCCACATTTGCACTGGTCAACCCATGTATCTTCTTTCAGGAACCACATTTTCGATTACTGTGGCATCTAATATAGCCTATAAATATAAGGAAACATAGAATGGAATGGAAGAGTAAACTGCAAACCCCATATATAGTATAATGGCAAATAGAATTATGGACAATGGTGATTTGAGGGAACACAGGTATAATCAAAGAATGGCATTAAAGCAAAACATTTAAATAATACAAGAGTGATTAAGAAGCTTCTCATCATTTTCTTCTTTTTCTTGTGTTTGACATCAGTCCGGTTCAGAGCATGAACCGGAAGGTGTAAGGCTGCCACTAGTCGTGTAATGTAGCTCTATTGGCCCCTAACCCTAACCTCTGCCAGCAGTTACGGCAATCCTGCTGTACATGCTCAGAAGTTCTTCTGTCTGCTCCGCATTTATAAATAGCATACTTGTTTACTTATACCTGTTCTCTAGAGGTGTGCTCCAAAACCGCAGTGTCCTGTCCGAAGCCTAACAACTATTGTCTGTCTTCCCTGTTAAGTTTGTTTATGCCACTCTCCAGTCTGTAGTCTCCACTCCCTTTTCCCAAAGGAACACTTTAAAAACATGGTTTCTGTGTAGCTTTGTGATAGATGAGGCTGTGGAAGCAAGCAGATGCTGGTCCTTAGATCTACAATTGGTTTATGCAGTATTGGACAGCAGAAAGGAGGATGCTGGTCCTTAGATCTACAATTGGTTTATGCAGTACTGGAAAGCCGAAAGGAGGATGCTGGTCCTTAGATCTACAATTGGTTTATGCAGTATTGGACAGCAGAAAGGAGGATGCTGGTCCTTAGATCTACAATTGGTTTATGCAGTATTGGACAGCAGAAAGGAGGATGCTGGTCCTTAGATCTACAATTGGTTTATGCAGTATTGGACAGCAGAAAGGAGGATGCTGGTCCTTAGATCTACAATTGGTTTATGCAGTATTGGACAGCAGAAAGGAGGATGCTGGTTCTTGGATCTACAATTGGTTTATGCAGTACTGGACAGCAGAAAGGATGATGCTGGTCCTTAGATCTACAATTGGTTTATGCAGTACTGGACAGCAGAAAGGAGGATGCTGGTTCTTAGATCTACAATTGGTTTATGCAGTATTGGACAGCAGAAAGGAGGATGCTGGTCCTTAGATCTACAATTGGTTTATGCAGTACTGGACAGCAGAAAGGAGGATGCTGGTTCTTGGATCTATAATTGGTTTATGCAGTACTGGACAGCAGAAAGGAGGATGCTGGTCCTTAGATCTACAATTGGTTTATGCAGTATTGGACAGCAGAAAGGAGGATGCTGGTTCTTAGATCTACAATTGGTTTATGCAGTACTGGACAGCAGAAAGGATGATGCTGGTCCTTAGATCTACAATTGGTTTATGCAGTATTGGACAGCAGAAAGGAGGATGCTGGTCCTTAGATCTACAATTGGTTTATGCAGTATTGGACAGCAGAAAGGAGGATGCTGGTCCTTAGATCTACAATTGGTTTATGCAGTATTGGACAGCAGAAAGGAGGATGCTGGTTCTTAGATCTACAATTGGTTTATGCAGTACTGGACAGCAGAAAGGATGATGCTGGTCCTTAGATCTACAATTGGTTTATGCAGTACTGGACAGCAGAAAGGAGGATGCTGGTTCTTAGATCTACAATTGGTTTATGCAGTATTGGACAGCAGAAAGGAGGATGCTGGTCCTTAGATCTACAATTGGTTTATGCAGTACTGGACAGCAGAAAGGAGGATGCTGGTTCTTGGATCTATAATTGGTTTATGCAGTACTGGACAGCAGAAAGGAGGATGCTGGTTATTGGATCTATAATTGGTTTATGCAGTATTGGACAGCAGAAAGGAGGATGCTGGTTCTTGGATCTATAATTGGTTTATGCAGTACTGGACAGCAGAAAGGAGGATGCTGGTTCTTGGATCTATAATTGGTTTATGCAGTACTGGACAGCAGAAAGGAGGATGCTGGTTCTTGGATCTATAATTGGTTTATGCAGTACTGGACAGCAGAAAGGAGGATGCTGGTTCTTGGATCTATAATTGGTTTATGCAGTACTGGACAGCAGAAAGGAGGACATTTGCCTCAGCTCTGTAGTCTGTGCAGACGTCGCCTGCTGGGAGAGGCTGTTGTTCTATTCTGCTGCTGAGATGCATGATGCATATTCCGTAACCTCCATTTTTTGAATGCATCTTTAGCATCTGTACTCCGTGAAAATGCGAGTCCAACTGGTACTGGGGTTTTCCTCTTTAATCATAGCATGAGTCAGGATTGTGAATCAAAACATTTACATCAAGAGTCACTGTGATGCTCCAAAAAGCTAACACATATGCTGCAAGGATTTGATTCTTCATGGCGATGTTTTTAAAAACAAAAACCATTTATCTAGATCCATATAATGATGATGATTGACGACAACGATGACGACCATGATGATGATGATGTTAGTAATGACGGTGATAATGATGTACTTTAGTTATAAAATGGATACAGCTAGTTTAATCTTTTCTGACCCAAAGATGGCGTCAAATGTGCATAGCAAGCAATGCATGGTGTGGTTCTGCATCTTTTGTTTGGTCTGAGCAACCAAAAAAATCTGGCTAGATATATCAACATGCAGCACAGTATGTATCTTTGACAGTTATTAACTCCCATCCTGTCATCATAGTAGAAGTTGTACCTTTTAAAAATTTGTTAATACATCTTCTAGAACTGAAAGGTAATAGAACCAAAAATTAAAAACAAAAACATACCTCCAGTAGACAGGTGTCTTTTGTGACTGGACTGGTCTTCTCTTTGTATCCTGTGTAAATATAAATATTTCCAGTTATGTAACCACTAGTGATAACATTATTGAGGACTGGCAATTGTCTTTTGTCACTCTTTAAAAAAAAAATAATGTGGACATAAATAATACACTGCACAATTTATTGTCTGGCATATTTCGCTAAAACTGTGCATTTCTAGAGCTATGTCAACATATCTCTTCTTCTTCTTCTTTTTCTTTGTGTTCACCAGCTGTAAACTCCAGAGGAAAGTTCTGGTTGTTTGTACACTTCTGGACTTTAGTCTTGTTCCAGAACTTGAGTGTTGCATGCACATCCGTTCAGCAGATCTCGCTTATTTGTATGCAGACTCTTGGTTCTATAGACTCTCGGGCAGGTGCATCCTGACATAGAAGGAATCCGCTAATTAGTCAACTCTTATGATATGCTTGTTAGGGAGGCTGTGGGTCTATTCTTATTTTACCTACAATGAGGTCCCAGAACCGACATGTTGTGCATCAACATATTATGAAGCAAAACAACTTAATCCTTCCTAATAAAATACACAAATCACAATGTCTCTACACTGTGCATATACCCACCAGAATTTCAAGATGAGCAATGTGATTATGCATGATTAATTTTTTTATTTGGCTGTGTAGGACAAAGGAGCCATATAGCATAATGATTTGAGACAAAATTCCTATCACTTGAATGAGGATTCAAACACAGGTTTTCTGAATGAGAGCCCAGCATTCTAATCACTTAGCCCAATGGTTCTCAACCTTCCTAATACCAGAACACTTAATACAGTTCCTCATGCTGTGGTGACCCCCAGGCATAACATTATTTTTGTTACTACTTCGTAACTTCAGTCAATATGGTCTTAGGCAACCACTGTTAAAGGGTCATGACCCACAGGTTAAGAACCACTGACTTAGCCAGACAATCTTCAATTAGAACAGCTAATATGTGCTAACATTTAATTAAAACTGACTGTAGTTAAGACCCTACAAGATTACCAGTTGAAGAAGACTGGCAATGATATCTACATGACCATAGCACATAGCACCATACAAAATGTCAGCAAGTTTAAGTGTGGTAACTTGCTGATAACAGTTACATAAGACATTGTTTGGCACTCAATGAAAAACTAAAAAGTACTGAAAGAATGCTACGACATCCAGGAGCTAAAAAAATAAATGTCAGGACAAGGGTCGAAATAATCACTGTAGGACAGAAAGAGTTAAAGTAATAACTGTCTTGTTAGAATAGGTTGAACAAAATAATTGTTCAGACAGAAGGATAATAATATTAATATTATAGCCACATGTTTTCCATTTAGTGGGTCACCCCCCCCCCCCCCCCGGGTCTATATCATTTATTTTTTTAAACCTCAACTATACAATGCAATCCTTTTTGGGATCCTAAAACTTATATATTATAATAAGTTCTCCAGTAAATCCATTTAAAACCTGTGGGGTCACAAGCAGACCTTAAAAAATAAGAAGGGTCTATAGGTTTTAGCTAACACAGGGCCACTGTTCTACACAAAAGAAGTTTATAATATGTGTGTGGACAGAAGAAGTTGAAGTCCTGACTGACTGTTGAATGCTGAATTAAGAATTGACATCACAGCACTTGGGACACTCCCAAGCGATGCTTGCCACTCTGCTTGGATTATGCCTGTCTCCACCTTTCTCAACATCCTCTGTGAGTCAGTTACAGTTACAATATGTGTGGGGGCCTTGTTAGCGCAGCCAATAGGAGAGTCACTTTCAAATCTAGCTTCAACTCGCTGCAGCCCACGGCCAGTGTTAGAAACCGGACGGTTTCCGGGGTTCACCCTAGGAAATGGGTACCAGAGTCAACACTCTAGGGTAAATGAAGGAACTTCGCTGTAGCTACAGAGTTTCGTGCAGACGGCAACACAGGCGAACAGTTTCTTATCAGCTGTCCGTACTGGTGGCAGAGCACTTATGGATTATAACTGTGTGCAATGAGGCTGGTTCACATCTCCCGACTTTACCTTTACAAGATGTGTGTACAGCTCATTCTCAATCCAGCTCAATCGTAACTGATTAAACAGAGTTTATGTAATAACTAACTGGACAGCAGGAACTAAAGCAATAATTGTGATGACAGAAGTTCATGAAGTAAATCTAAGGTAGGATTACAGTAATAATTGTGGTCATCAGTTGTTGGCACCTTTCCGTTTTTCCAAAATTTTCCAAAACTGCGGAAGCCCAGATAGATCATTACGGTCTAAGGGAAATAGCGATGCAAAGAGTTACCAGGGGATCTGGCCGACGCTCAACACTCAGAGGAAAGATGAGACGGATATACAATCAGACAGTTACTGGTACCATCAAAATTGGAACTCTTCGTTTGCTGCTGAAGATTGGGACTGAGCACTAATGGGAGTGTTGATTCTTAATTCAACATTCAAATTTTTTTCCACAAAGATGGTGTTTCAAAGTGCTATAGGGAGGCATGAGAATCACAGCCCACAGTGATGGCAATTTCAAGATCATTAGACCAGAGATGAAGTTTCTCCTCCTCTGGATAAAGCCTGTGCACTACTACAGTGATAGTATGTTGTGAACAACTAAGACTATTACTAATAAACTACATACATTCAATAACTGGTATCTGCACAGAATAGAGGGAATTAAATGGAATGATATAATAACTAATGTAGAGCTTTGCGAGAGAACTAAGCAAGCTCCAGTGGACCAAGAGTTGAAGAAAATACGCTGCCGTTGGATAGGACACACGTTGAGAAAACCAGAGAACAATATAACTAGAATGTCTTTGCACTGGAACCTTCAGTGGCATAGGAATAAAGGAAGGCCAAACAAAACATGGAGAAGGGAGCTGGAGAATGAAGTTAGAAAGATGGGGAAGACATGTGATAGCAAACGATAGAACGACTTGGGTGAGTTGGTTGAGGTACTGTGCTCCATTGGGGGCTAGAAAGGCAGAAGACGAAGACTATTATAGAGATCATGTGTTGCCCACACAGCACGATCCCTATCTCTCTCGGCCTGCATTGCTAACTCCAAAGGAAGCGTAACAACAATAGAACAGGTATAGATACTAAAACGTGATTCAGATGCTACTGAGGCGGCATAGCTATAGATATATAACGGCTTTAAAAAAGTTGTAATAAACTGACAATGAAAAATGATGTACATGAAATGTCCATGAGCAGTTATAGCAATAACTGACTGCACAAGAGTTAAAGTAATAACTGTCTGGACAGATGAGTTACAATAATAAATGGCTGGATGGAAGTTAATGCTTTCCATTTGAAGCAGTCATTACTGTAATTCATACAATCTCAAACTGCTGCAACTTTACAGTATGCTAATTCTGAGTCTGAATGAGTTACCATAATGTCTTTGGAACAGCAAAAAACTAAATTATTAGTATTTTCACTTAGAATAAATTAATGTAACAACTAGATATGACAAACATATTTAAGAATGTAATATCATTCAGATTCCGCTCTACAAAAAAAAAAAAAAAAAAAATTACAACCATGGTCAACCTGCTGCTGGCAGCGAGCCGCCAACAGGCTCCCATTCTATTTGTGGTCTGGTTTATTTGCGCCATTTTCGTAGCTATGATTATGGTAGGTGTGCCAGCTCTTTGGCTTAATGTCCTCACAGGTAGACTGCTTCTTCCTGTCTTGTCCCCATATGTTCCTTTTGTCCTTATCTTCCTGAATGTGGGGGATTTCAATTCAAAAATGATCAGTTTTTTTTGTGCCTGAAGGTAAATGGTTCAAAAAAACATTTAAGCAGATTTTGTTTTTCGAACCCACTTTGGCTCCAAAGACAACCCAGCCTAAAATGGGACCAGGTAATGTCCTGGAAAGTGAAGGGAGCCAGCAAGATGATGTACACATCAACTATCAAGTGTTTATTGGTCTATACCAGTGTTTCCCAAACTGTTCTTAGTCACTGCACCTTTTTCCAATAAAAAATTTGACCGCAGCGCCCTAACCCAAGTAAAAGTATGACTATTCGTATGTAAGAGATTTTAAAAAAAAAATTATGTATCGTCAAATATTTTGCGGCGCCCTGTGAAGAGCTCGCGGCTCCCCGGGGTGCCACAGTGCACAGTTTCGGAATCACTGGTCTATACAATTATAGGTCTAGCACTATATTCCAGATGCGTCAATTTTTATCAGGTACGGGGCGTCGCAGGTCGACCCAGCCTAAAATGGGTACCAGGATGTATGTCCTGGGGAAGAAAAGATGGCTGGCGTAATGCTGACCACATTACCCACCTAGTGCCGATGGTCTGTAAAACTATACTCCTAAAGGCGTAAAAAGGGATCTTTACTTTAATTTTACTATATTCCAGATATGACAAAAGGCGAAAAATAGTCCTTTACTTCACTTTTTAAAGTTGTTTCATACCAACAAAGACGGAAGAAAAATTTAAATTTTAATTCCAATATGATTTTAGTTTTAACATATACTAGTGAAAGATAGAGAACCACCACTAAAGAGCAAAAGCTAAAAAAAAACAAATGCTTGAGGGAAATGACAAACATACAATGGAAGGAATTCAAGAGGGGTGAAGACAAAAATGGAAATGAGAAAGAGAAGATGACCCTATATTGGACACAATGTAAGAAGAGATGAACAGAGACTCACCAAAGAGGCACTGAAATGGGAAATAGAGCGACTGAGGAAATAGAGACGTCTAAGAGAAACACTAAGGTGAAGATTAATGAGAAAAGGAAAAGGTACTGGCCTGAATCCTATCCATTATATAAAAGTGATTGTACAGGACAGAAAGGAATGAACAGAAGGTGAGCCCACATGATACATAATGGCAGCACAGGACAATGAATGAATATTTAATTTAAATAATGAGGACAAAAACAATACCTAGTTGGTCCAGATTATTGAAATTCACAATGAGAAAACATTATTCTCAAAGCAATAAATATTTGCAGTGAAGTTAAAGTAATTATTAACAAGACTGATAGAAAAGTAATAATTCACAAATGAATTTAAAG